ATTGCACCCTCAGCCATTTTAACGTGAAAAGTTTGGATCCGTCACTTCCAGCCAGGCTCTCAGGTCATAAACTGGAGTAAAGCAAAATGTCAACTCTGAACAGACATGCCACGCAACCGGCCCTCTTTTCAATATTATTAGCTTTCTGCAATCATCGTCTGACTCCATCTCGATCAAACGCAGCATCCGGTTTCTACAGGGGCGTTTGACTGACCGGCCACACAATAACCAAAAACAAAATCAAAGCTTCATGCACACATAAGTAGGAAACGGATGAAAAAGGCACAACCACGGCACAACTCTGCGCGGTAAACAACGGACAATGTCCCACGCAAGATCCCGCGTTTCTTCAGCGGCCTTGAACGGAATGAAAACATTACATTTCTTTTTTGGAGCTATTTGATGACGTCAAAAAATACAATACCCGTTGTAATGGTCAAAATCGAGACAATTACTCACAAAAATGTTTCCCTTTGAGCATTGCAAATAAATAATTTAAAGTATTTAAATGACATTGTTTTTTTCAAACAAATCAATATTATTTGCTTACTTAAACGTCATATACAATGCTGAGATCACTACGGGGCTGTCTTAGAGTGTAGCTGCACTGGCAACCTTTAGGCTAGTCTCCAGGGGTCATTATACCAGAACAACATGATTCTACCAGCCAGTAGTTCATTTTTCTACTAGATTGGTGCTACGCTCAGCATTTAGGTGCCAGATTCAGAAAAAAAAGAGTAAGGCGTACCGATGAATAGGTGCCAGAAACAGCTAATTAAGGTCATTTTCCATGATTGGTGCTGGTATCCACCAAATAGGTGCTGAGGACCAATTTTGGGGCGAGTCAGCTTTTAGGTGCCAGAAATAGCTTTTCTGGGACGCAATTAAATGGCGTCCCTTATATACTCTAGTCCAACTCTAGTCGTGAGTGCCCGCCCTAAATTCCCGAAAAGTCACGTGCTTAACAATAACCAGTATTTTACATTCTCGCGCACTACGAACTTGCTGACCGACCTCCAGAAGATTTGACTACAGCAAGCTATTGAGAAAATGGTTAATTATGAACTAGATAAGTGACAATAATACAAATAACGTGACTTTTGTCGGGCGATATGAGTTTTGAACGGCCCTTCACCATTATCAGAAGCCCTTCATGATACTTAGCGTCCCTCGCTACGCTCGGGCCGCTCAGCATCATGTCGGGCTTCTGATAATGGTGTCGGGCCGTTCAAAACTCATATCGCCCTCCAAAGTCACGTTATTGTACTATTATTGTCGACGTTTCGTCACCCTTATGACATTTTCAAGACATTCATACTTGACATACAATTGCAAACATATACAGTATTCATTCAAGTAATGCCAGTCATGGCTGCCACAAGATTAAACAATATTATTATCACAATTATTAGGATTGTGATAATAATATTGTTTAATCTTGTGGCAGCCATGACTGGCATTACTTGAATGAATACTGTATATGTTTGCAATTGTATGTCATGTATGAATGTCTTGAAAATGTCATAAGGGTGACGAAACGTCGACAATAATAGAAGAGATGCTTAAACTGTGGATATATTTACTTACAATCATGAGCTTTGGAGAAGTACTCGCCGGACATGAAACATCGACTCGAGCTCTCATACGAAACATCGAACGAACATCTCGAAAAATCACGAACGCTGAAAACGCTGTAGCATTTAACAACATTTGTATTGAAAACAATCTGCTTCCGAAGTACACTGATATACGCTTAAGCAATGAGGCAGTGCGGCGTAACAGGATCACACTAGAATTCAGAAGAAATCTGGTGGAAAATGAGACTCAACAGAAGGAGAAGGCGCTCCAGCTGTTGAAGAAGAAACTCCGAGAACAAGAGTTGGAGCTGGACGAAAAACAAATGACGAGGGAGCTGCGAGACTCCACCATGGCTGCTCTAGCGCGTGAGCTTCAACAGCACAAACGCGTTTCTACAAACAGGATCCAAAAAAAGCTCAGTAACCTTTACGGAGGATGGGTACCTATTCCAGAGAAAAACGATGGCTATATTAACCTGTCAGACATAACTCTAACTGAAAGCCAAGAGGAACTTCTAAACCTAGGCGTAAACTTTCAGTACGCACCACACTTTTCCCAAGAGAAGAAAAAGGCTGCATTAGAGATGCTGTATCAAGACGCAGTGAAGCTAAAAACTCAGAACAAGATCGATATTCACCCAGATTTTCAAGACCTTCTGATCGGTGAGAGCACCAAGAACCGAACCGGGGGTGGAGCCAAGTCTCTTCCGCCGCGCTTGAAAAAGGCAGCCCGAGAACTCAGAGAGAACGACTCGATCGTGATTCGTAAGGCTGACAAATCCGCGGTATACGTCATTATGAACAGGAGTGATTATGATGAGAAAGTGACTAGCATTTTGAGCGATAGTTCAAAGTTCACACCAATTACGCGCAACCCGACCGAACAACTAAAAAAGAGTGCCAATGACTTAATTGCCTCCGCTAACAAACACATCAAGGTGGGGCAAAAGATGTCCCCGATCACTGGTGAGTACAATCCGGGGTACTTTTATGGTAACCCTAAAACACACAAAAACAACAATCCCCTGCGTCCTATCATCTCGCAGATACCACTACCCACCTACCAGCTCGCAAAGAACCTAAATAAGCTACTTTCCCCCTACGTACCTCAAACTTATTCTTTGAAATCATCCAGTGACTTCATTGATCTGCTCAGGGAAAAGGAAAAACGCGGTTTGCTGGCGTCGCTAGACGTATGTAGCCTATTCACGAATGTCCCAGTAGAGCGGACGATCGACATCCTAATGGACTTCTCCTACCGTAGCGAGGGAGCTGCCCCGCCCGAGCTCTCTGAACATGTGATGCGTGCCATGCTACGTCTCTGCACGAAAAAGTCCCCTTTTCGAGCCCCTGATGGTAAACTTTACTATCAGATAGACGGGATTGCCATGGGCTCGCCACTCGGGGTTTTGTTCGCCCAGTCCTTTATGGCTCATGTAGAACAGAAGGTGCTTGATGAAGGGTTAGTGGCAAAACCCGATCTATATTGTCGTTACATTGACGATATTTTGGTAGATGTAAACGGACTAGATCAACTGAACGAACTCAAATTACAACTGGAGCAAGTATCAGGCCTCAACTTTACCACAGAGCTAAGTGTGAGCGATCATATCAACTTCCTTGATGTATCCCTCGATGGAAGTAACGGCCCCTTCAAGACAACTGTGTTCCGAAAGCCCACGGACAAGGGAAAATGCCTGAATGGGTCAAGTATGTGCCCAGATAGGTACAAAGAGAGCGTCGTTCATGCATATGTCCACAGGGCGATAACGCACTGCTCATCGTGGCCGCTCCTCCACACAGAGCTACAGAGAGTGAAGCAAATGCTGGCCAATAACAACTACCCGATACAGACTGTGGACAAATGCATCAACGAAGCTATCCACAACCACATTCACAGCAACAGTAGTGGTGAAAACAAAACTGAGCACGCGGAAGGTGTCACAACACACAAGCTGTTTTACCAAAATAGCATGTCCCCGGCGTACAAAGCCGACGAAAAAGCCCTCCGAGACATAGTCAGGAGACACTGCAAACCAGTGTCCCCAGGTGACCGGCTAAAACTCGTAGTGTTTTACCGGAATCCCACGTCCCGCTCTCTCATCATGAGTAACAATCCCACACGCGACAAAACTATGCTAAAACAGTCCAACGTCATTTACAGTTACAAATGTCCTCTCGGAGACTGTGCACTCCGCCAAAACTGTAAATACATCGGACATACCACTACATCTCTTAGCAGACGCATCACCATGCACCTTCAAAGCGGCGGCCCAAAGACACACACACAAACATACCACGACCAACGGCTCACTCGACAACTCATGCTTGAGAACACCACCATCATCGACAGATCCAACAATGTCAGAGAACTACATGTACTTGAGGCCATACACATTCGCGACAGTGACCCCACCATAAATCGACAGGTCAATGCTAGAGGCACTCTCATGCTGTTCGAGGGGACGCCGTTAGGTCCAAGGAGGACCTAAGTTAGGCTCCCCAGAGACCAGAGCACCAGGTAGCCTTAATAAGAACCCTGCTTGTTGTGTACATGTATGCTCATTGTTCATCTTTATTGTTTATTCACAACTGTATGTAACACATTCGTAGGAGAAGGTACCGTTTGTTATGCGCATGTTTTTAAACAAGAAAAATCAAATTTGACATTGAACCCTGTGAACTTCCTTTCCATCCCGTGTCATCAGAAACCTAATAATTGTGATAATAATATTGTTTAATCTTGTGGCAGCCATGACTGGCATTACTTGAATGAATACTGTATATGTTTGCAATTGTATGTCATGTATGAATGTCTTGAAAATGTCATAAGGGTGACGAAACGTCGACAATAATAGAAGAGATGCTTAAACTGTGGATATATTTACTTACAATCATGAGCTTTGGAGAAGTACTCGCCGGACATGAAACATCGACTCGAGCTCTCATACGAAACATCGAATGAACATCTCGAAAAATCACGAACGCTGAAAACGCTGTAGCATTTAACAACATTTGTATTGAAAACAATCTGCTTCCGAAGTACACTGATATATATATATATATATATATATATATATATATATATATATATATATATATATATATATATATATATATATATATATATATATATATATATATATATATATATATATATATATATATATATATATATATATATATATATATATATATATATATATATATATATATATATATATATATATATCTTTGAGCACTATTGGAGGGCCACGGCTATGCTATTTCGACTGGGGGGGGGGGGGAGCCAGGCTCCAGGATGACACTTACCACGTAACATACACCGCAAAACACCATCCTGCCTAAACATAGGTTGAGCTTCTTCTACCGACGGCTTGAGAGGCCAGCGTAGGACTGAGAGGTATGGCCCGTGTTTTTCAGCCGGCAGTCGGAGTCGGGCATGGCCTGTGAAGAGGCCGGAGCGGCGGCAGCGGCAGCGGCACCGTGCGGCGGCAGCGGCACCAGCAGCGGCACCGAGCCTACAGCGGCAGCGGCACCGTCCGGCGCCGCCGACCCGCACACGGACTCGGCGGACCGGGGCGCCGCCGCACCGCCCCTGGCCCCTGGCCGGGTCGCCACGCCCAGACGCCCACGGTCTCCGAGGATCGCGCTGCCGACTTACCGCCGCACAGCCAGGAGGATGGTGAAACTAGTGCCGCTCAAGACCGGCTCGATTGCGACACCCCCGACCGGCCGCCAGCTGGCACGTAAGATGGCTAAGCCTGTTCATGAGGGTGGGTCGAATTCGATCGAAGTTGTCGGATTAGAGGGCTTGACCCCTATTGTTGTGTTTCTTTCTTTTCTGAACATGACGGTGGTCTTTATGAAAATGATAAGGAAAATAGGTTGTTAGGAAAATAATGAGGTATAGCTGGGTGAAAATCAAAATCCAATGTTTTTGACATGCTATTTTTCGTCATAACGTTTCCTCAGGTTCACACATTTTGCCGTATTTTCATTTTTATAGTCTGTTAATTTAAAGATGGCGGATCGCTTCAAGCGCACAAATGAATGCGGCACGAGGCGCGGAGCGGTAGGGTTTAGGAGGTTAAAAAGTAAAAGCAACAGTGAGCTGATATTTTTAGCTGACTAAAGTTTTTTCAACAGTCCCTTGGCTTCAAGTATGTTTTCTGAATACATGTCCGGTAACCAAACAAAAAGTCAAATGCCAAAAGTCAAAAGACAAAAAGTCAAATGCAAAAAGTCGAAATGGATAAAAGTCAAATGGAAGGAAGTCAAAATGTATAGAAGTCAAAACGTCAAAAAGTCAAAAGGAACAAGTCGAAAGAGTAAAAAGTCAAAAAGGAGAAAAGTCAAACGTGAAAAAGTCTAAGCGGATAAAAGACTAAAGCAAAAAATCCAATGCGGAAAGTCAAACCAGATAAAAGTCAAGATGTAAAAAATCAAAATGGTTTAAAGTCAAAATGTAAAAAGCCAAAAGTAAAAAGTCAAACCAACAAAAAGTTAAATAGATAAAAGTCAAATGGCAAAAAAGTAAAGAGGCAAAAGTCAAATGGCAAAAAATCGTCAAAAGTCCCCTGTTTTTAAGTGTTTTTTTTTTCAGAGAAATTATGGAAAACACATCAATATGAACACACAAACCCTTCAACGCATGCATCATTTACCATTTGCCTGTCCCGTAGCTCAGTTGGTAGAACACCGGACTGCCGGTAGTGAGAGCCCCGGGTTCGAGTCGCTCCGGCGCTCGATATTTGAGACTCCTGACGGTGATGGTCTGCGGTTGGTGGGAGCAGCCGCAGCCAGTTGAAGTCAGTTGAGTGGGACAGGCCGTGTCCGGCTTTGAAGGGCACGTTAAGCTTTGGCATCTAAATTCTCCCGTTACCCGGAATTGCGTGATCGGACGATAGGGGTCGGGGTCTACGCAACAAGCTCTGCTAAGCGAGGGCCCCGGCTCTGTCCAAGATACCTATAAGAAACAGGTACATAGACCCGATGTTTGAAAGTAAAGCCCCAGTCACCAATCTGAAGCACCTGTGACGTTTCCTGACATCCACGTGACCATTGTGAATTGTGATAACTTTTGGGTCATTCCACGTCAACTCGATCACGAATGTACCCGACCCCCTTCGATTTTGATGAAATTTGGTAGGCTCTTAGCACCTGTGAAAACAAATGCATCCTTCAAGTTTTAGACCTGGGTGACCTCTAGGGTCAAAGTTATAGGTCATGAAGGGTCAACGATTTTTGCCGACATTGCAGGTTTGAAAAGCCCATTGCTCTGTAATTAAGAGTGCGGGGAAGCTGCGATAAGCCCCATTAGAGAGGCAATTGGTCCAGGTTTTATTAATAATTTTGTATTTGTTGATGACCTTTCAATGACCTTTGACCTGACTAGGTCAAACTGAGTATTTTTAAGTTTGACCATGTTCTGTACCTGGGACGCTGACGAAAATTTAGCAGAGGATGTATCATAGTATCGACAATAAGTGGCGCAAAAATATTTTGGAGAAATTATTGTTAAAAGATAAATCCTTATATAAAGCTGTATACGAAATTTGCCCTGAGGCTGTTTGACGAATCCCGGCTAATTTCGTGCTGCTTGTTAGCCCGATTGGGCTAAAACTTGGTATGCGTAATTCCCTGTTGGTGTGCAGCACATCAGTGTATTAAAAAATGCTTGACTTCATAGGTCAAAGGTCATCACCAATGGACGTCATACCATATTTTTTACATTTTTTTATTTTCTACATACGAGATTTATCCACTTTGTATTAAAAGAAAATTTATCTAATGTTGTTGGTTTATAAAAGTGATGAAATACTACCAGACGTCTATCGGGACCACTTGAATATCACCTAAGGTTATTCTATAATTTTTTATTCTTAACCCGCGCATGACTGGGAAGGTACACAGAGCCCCCTCTCGTTTTTCTGCAATATCTTCTAAACCACTAGATGTACCAACACAAAATCTTCATTACCTTCAGTTGCATCGATGAAACACCGTGTGTCCAAATAAAAACGTCTTAGCTACCATAGGTCGGCCGGAAATGACGTCGGAGTGACGTTATGTTCGTCCGAATTTGATGCAAAACATTGAAATACCACGATCGCGTTCAAGAACTCAATTTGGAAGCTAGACCCAATTTTAAAGAGAGAAAATATATGAAAAAAATTGACCTCTCCTCGACATTTAAATTATTTGAATAGCCAAATATTACTGTATTGATATTTCGACCAACTTCAGAATAAGACAGTGTACACAAGTGTACGAGAATACAATAAATGATGCAGCAGACTTATTCCCGCGGTTTTCAAATTTAAAATTAGCGCGGTTTATCTCGCGCTCCTAATATAGTGGTACAACCTTTTTAACTACTTCAAAATATCACAGAATATGCATGAAAACACATCACTTGACACATCCAGTTCAAAGGTCAACGCTCCAAAGTCAAAGGTCAAAGTACTAGGTTCAAATGCCAGACAAGAAGGTCGAGTTCAAGGTTAGAGTTCAACGTATCCATGACCATCAAGGTCAAACCATAGCCAGATAATATAAATTATACAATATACACATATATATGTTGCAGGCACTTTAGAAAATCAGTCATTTTGTAAAATGCCTAGGCATTTTGCAAAATGCCTGATTTTCCAGGCTTTTTGCAAAAAGCCTAGGCATTTTACAAAATGACTGACTCTCCAGTCATTTTGCAAAATGCCTAGGCATTTTACAAAATACCTAGCCATTTTACAAAATGACTGAGCAGCGTGTCGTAGATACGAGTACCTAATTATATACGTTTTGGTAGCGTGTAGGTGGACCGAGGAGTCCAGCATTATGACCAGAGGAGTCCAGTGGGAGGTCCATACCTACCTCTCTCTATTTTGAGAAGTGCAGGCCCGCGACATTTCCAACCCCCACGTCAGCGGCGCTGCTAGATTTAAAATGACGCGGCGTTGATGTACTTGGGAGTTTTTACAGCATTAACTAAACAATGCTTTATGCTACAGCCGAGTCTGCAACTCAACCTGGTCGTTACTCAGCATTGTCGTCATCACAGAGCTTCAAATCGATCAGCTACAGGCTGAACACGTACCTATACTGATTTTCTAAAGTGCCTGCAACATATACATATCTTCATTCGCACTGATTGTTCTTAAAGTCTAGTAAAGCGCATTACAAATTTAGCAGTACAAAATTGGCCATAAGGAAGCATTTGACATTTCCACGATCACACTTCATACATATCCAAATCTTCACTCACCCGCATTTACAGGGTGGAAAGTAATTACGCGAACATACATTTTTCGTCTTTTAAGAAGGAAAAAAGACGTGTGTGACATAAAACTTTTATTTGTTGACACATCCTCCTTTGTTAGCGATGCACTGGCGCATGCGTTCCGGCATGCTTGACACCAGAGGCCTGTTTCACTAACAAATAAAGTGTGTAATTACAAAGAAAAAACTTGAGTTTAAAAGAAATAATTACCAACATTTGAAATTTGGATTTCACGAAACCTTCGGGCATGAATTTTGAGTTTAAAATTTGCAAACTTTTTTACAAGAAAAAGTTTGCTAGAAAACACGGGAATCGCAAACTTTCTGTTTCACGAAGACCAGAAACTTGAAAGAAAACATCGTAATTACAAACCTGAAATTCCAGTGGTCCTGACGTTCGGAATTTTGATACTTTTTGTGCAATGATGCAAAGCAATCAATTATTTAAAACAAATATGATACGCTGAGTCATTATATGCTCTTTTTCACTTAGCACATTCCCTACGAACCATCTACGAGCAATAAATAAATATCGTCATGTTTTGTCATTCGCGCGCCATAATTGCATTCAACAGTCTTCTGCTGTCAAATGTTTTACGTGTTATTTTCTTTCAATAATAAGATATTGTGAACTATCATTTATACCACTCAGAAACAGCATCATTATTTTTAATTTATTCCTGCAATTTCTGACATGAAAACTAGACATAGTTTGATAAAAAGAAGCAATATCTGTAACTTGTTAAAGTTCTTGATTAAAAACAATTTTATTGTTTACAAGTTTATTTACCAACTCTTTTTATCGGAGGTGCCGCTGGTGATGAAGTTTAGTGAAACCCGATTTTACATAGTTTGCAAAAATACTTATGAATTGTAAAGTTCAAACACTTGTAATCGCAAGTTTTTAGTGAAACAGGCCTCAGGTTGTGGATCACATCGGGAGAGATCGCAGCCCATGCCTTCCGAAGCTGTCTGGCGAGCTGATCGGCAGTGGTGGTCCCTGGAAACTCGCTGACCTTCTCCTTGAGAATGCCCCAGAGGTTCTCAATGGGATTGAGGTCTGGGCTGTTGCCAGGCCAAACATCCTTCGCCCAGAAGGACGGCAGGTTGTCCCGACACCAGTCTTGCGTCCGTTTGGCCGTGTGCGGAGGTGCCCCATCTTGCATGAAGATGGCCTTTTCTGCATCTGGCACGAGAGCGCGCTGGAGTATCGTGCCAGTTTTGCCGGTTCGGTGGACGGCACGCAGGCACTCTTCTTCCAGGAGGTTCTGCCGGTAATAGTCGCCGTTTATAGTGACCTTTTGGGGCACTACGTGAAGCTCCGACACCGCACAGGAGCTCATCATCCCCCAGACGTGCACTTTCGGTGGATGCTTGACCGTTGGGACTGGTGGGACATCAGACGCATCGGCAGCCCATACGCGGTCGTTCTGCCTGTTTGGCGGGTTAAATAATTCAAAACATGATTCGTCTGACCACAATACCCGTTTCCAGTCTTCTTCTGTCCATGTTTTGTGCTCCTTTGCAAAATTCAAACGCCGTTTCTTCTGTTCTTCAGTGAGTTTTGGTCTTTTTGAGGGCTTGTGCCTTGTATAAAAATGTGTTCAAATTTTCGCGAAGATATGTGCGGACCTGTGGGCTGTCCGACAACAAGCCTTGCTTAGTTGGACGGCCCTGCAGAGGCTCAGTAACTGATCCAGCTTGAATTTGACCAGAAAGATCACCTTCAACCATCCACTTTATTTGTATGACTGCTCCCCCTCTATCACCTTCATCCCACTAACATTACCCTGTATGAGTGTGTATCTGTGGGCGTTCCAGGGGTGTAGGAAGGCAGTCACTAACTGTTTGCAGTTGTGACCACTTTGCTTCTCTTATGTTAACATACACTGTAAAAAAATATTGACTAGCCCCTCGTCAAATGATTCTCAACGCTAAATGTCGGGGGTACAGACTAGTTTTGCATCCTACTTTTGACACACGCTGCGAGCCCCTGGCTTGTTTTGTGTTTGTCAGATGACAGTTACCAGGTGTCGGTTAGTTTTTACCACATCCCAAAAATAGCTGGAGCGTGTCTGCCTTGTTTTGGAAGCAGGTCCTCGTTAATGCTGTGTATGATAACAAAGTACCTAGTAACAATAATAACGAAACACAAGGTTAAAACGAGGGCGGCTTGTTTAGTGACGATGTTCAAAAGAAGCATAGTCTTGTTCCTACTTAACGAATGAAGCTCAAACTAGGTCAAAACTAACGTATTGCTATACATTTGAACCCCACGACGAACCCATTGTTGGTTCAAAAACTAGCTCATACCTGGCGCTGGTAACCTTACAAGCCCTAATTAGGCCATAATTAGGGCCCTAATTAATATGGGTTAATTAGAGGCCCAACTAGGCCCTAATCAACCCATAGTCAGATGACCAGCAGATCTTACGCCGCCCAATCCAGTCATCGAATTTGCCAGCGAATTCGTTTGAAGACCATCATACATATTATTAAATATCGGTGGTCTTCAAACGAAATCCCTTACCGGTTTGATGACGAATTCATCCGGCCCATTCCAAAAACGCTCAAGATAAAATGAAAGTGTATTTCTGAAATAATGTGCTTTCTTGCAATGCACCTTTCGTATATCAAGCGAATTTTTCACTTCCAGCGCCCGTTTACAGTTATCAATCGAATCAGAAGCATGCACATATCGATAGATCTGAACCTAAGAACACAGAAGACATTTTGTAGAGTACCTGTCTGAGCCTATGCAGTGGAGCCCGTGAGCCGCCCAACCGCAGCTGCCTCATGAACTTGATGATAGGTCTGAACCTCAGATTAGCCAGAGCTTGGCCGTCAATAACCAGCTTATTTCTATCCACAGTTGTAGTGACTTAGGGTTTGGAATTTGCCAAACCTAAGTTTTGATTACCAAGAGAAGTTTTGTACTTCTTGCACTTGCCTTTTCTTCATAACTTTGGCGGAAATCGTCATAGTGAAACTTCAGTGTTCCGTTAGCTGTCGGTTCTTGAGAGAGTTGGTCAGGCCGGACACCGGGGGCGGCTCCACAACTTTTCAAAAATTAAACCTAAGTCCTATTGCACGGCATGGAGAGCAATTCATTTAAAATCGCTCTTGTTCCCCCCCCCCCTCGACAACTTTGCAAACGTCTCTGCGCGATTTAGTTGAGAATAATGGCTTATGGCAAGTTATTGAATCAGAACGTCGATCACTGCAGGTCATATATCGGCAAGCAATTCTTCATAATTAGACACTGCACAAATGGAAACGATACAGGTTTGCCCAGTGATAAACACTCTCACTTCACAGACGCACGCACCCCCGACCGAACGCGACACGGCACACGGCGCAACGGGCGGAACTGGCGCCGGGAAGCCGGGAACGCATTAACCCGCGCCCCGTTGGGCTCTGCCGAGCAACGCGCCCCGTTGGGGGCCATTTTGGCCCCCCCCCCCCCTAAGATCTCGAGAACCACGCAATGTAGCGACAAGCGGCAAACGGCGTTTGATAGCCCTATCAGGGAACTACCTTGTGACCCAATTTTATTGACCTAGGTCAAACCGATGACGTCACAGGTCAGGTCAAAGGTCCAATTTTCACCGTTTACAGGCATTTCAAGAAATGCGTTGTAAAATCGAGTAAAATGCATTTCATTGAAAAGCATCAATGGGGAAATGTTCTTCAAACACATATTTTGCTATTTGAGGTCACTGATACCAGGTCAGGTCACAGAGGTCAGGTCACGGGGGGTCACAATATGAAAGTGTCGTGTGATGCATGTTTTATGGTCCATTTTACATGACGAATGCGATTATGTGGGTCAGGCAGCCTTTGGGGCCAGCTTAGGTCACGTTTTGGTCAAGGTCAGGTCAAGGTCAGGTCAAATTAGGTCAAATTTCAAAGTTAATATTTTTGCATAAGATGGTTATCGAATCGATGCAGCTTGTCACGGGGAGTTCAATGGTGGTCTTTGTTTTGCCGTACGTGGTCTAGAATCGCTAAAAATTGAGTTCAAAAATTTGACGTCATCATTTTTGAACAGTTTTTTCGCTATAACTTGGCCAAAAAACGAGATATAGATCTGAAATTTGGTATGCATATAGAAGAGCGCAGGGACTATCACATATATTCCGTTTTTTTTTAAATTCGGAAACATTTTGGATTTTTTTAGTTTTTCTAAAAAAATCAATTTTTGAATTTTTGGGGGTCAAAAACCCAAAATTTTGAAAATCCGAGATAGCAGTTTTGTAGCGCCGTTTTTTGTCTACTAGACCATATAAAGAACTTTGAAATTGCTTGATAACTGTAGATTTGGTGAGCGTTTCAAGATTGCATGTTTTTTGCTCATTTTTGCTCGAACATGACCTCAGTTTGACCTCAATAACTCCTGACCTAAGGTGACCTAAGACTTGAAATTTGGTGTGAAGATGTCAAATTGATGCCCGGAAAGGTACTGAAAATTTGGCGGCGCTGCGCGCCGCCGTTTTCTTGCTATTCAGGAAAAACCACAGGGGGGGCTAAAAATGCCCCCCCCCCCAACGGGGCGAGGGTTAATTGAAGGATTCACAGGTGCGCAACTTTATTGCGAACAATAAAAACCTACCGCAAACGATTAAAAAAGTTTTAGGGCAATCGGAAATACAAATGTATTGACTTATAGAAATAAAATTGTCATTCACCTTCCAAATAACCCAACAATTTATTTGCCGTAAAAAGTGTCTGGAAATGGAAAATTGCAAACATGATTCAGCAAGTAGGGAAACGCAGCAGCTACCTGGCGGATAATCTCAGGCTGCCGGCTGGTTTAGTGACGAGTGCATTGCTACGGCTTCTAATTGTGCACCATTGAGCCCTTTCAGTTGAACTTTGTAGCAAGATTTCTGTAGCAAGTATGATGGTGGTTGTCCGTTCCGATTTCTGCATCTCAGTTATGACAGCATTGGGTATCAAACTCTTGATCAAGTTCCGATTTTTCAGGGTTTTGAGCAGCCGAGGCCGGTTGAAGTAAGGTTAGGGTGAGGGACCACGTACGGCCTTTATGGACGCGCCAATTTTTGGCTTCTGAATGAACCCTGCCAGCCTGAAATTCACTAGAAATGGAACGTTAGAGGTCAGGAATATAGAAATAACTCTGCTTACCGCCGCTGCTTGGTTCTTTCAATCGGTCCCTTCAAAACATTCGGATATGATCCCGGATAAAATCCCAGATAATGTTGAGAAATTATTAGATCCGGTGAGATATATCGATCGAATAACATTTTTACTTTCAAAGTTTCTTAATTGGGGGACGTGTTTGGGTTGAGTTTGGGAATCGTACTGACTATTGCTCTGTTTCCAGTCGAAGACCTGGTGTTGGAGAGAGCCAAACAGATAATGCGATTGAAGCTGCGAGTGCGCCGGCTGGAAGTCAAGTGTCTGCGCCTGATGGGTGTCACCAAAGCTGGCGACAGAGCCGCTGAGAGCGCTGCTCCGGCCGCCGAGATCGCTCCGGCCGCCGGCAGCGACAAGGCGGTCGGCGCGCGCAGCGGTGCACCCTATGAGGACACTGAGGACAGCCCTCGCCCGGAGACGGCCGAGGCGCCGACCGTCGGCGGCCGCACGCTCACAGACGAGCCTCTGCTCATCCTGCGCAATGATCCCGGCCCAAAGCTGCCCCCCATCCTGACACTGTTAAAGGACAACCAGCTGTCCGAGCGCGCGGCCAACGCCGTGCCGTCCAACCTCCGCGAAGCAAAGGAGGTGAACCACCAGCTGAAGACGCAGTATTTGAACCTGCAGGCTTCGGTGCTGAAATGGGCTATGCAGAACAAGGTGCACAATGATCGTTTGATAGAGGCTGCAGAGAAAAGAAAGGCATTGGCCGACTCCGCTCGCGACTCTCGCTTGCGTTACCTGTTGCGACTTGAAGCTGCCATCAAAGACATGTTTACTGAGGCGCAGATCCGCCACATTATTCGTCGCTACGAGGATTCTAGCGGCGTCTCGGCCGACAAACGGACAGTGATCCAGTGGGGCGAGGCGGATGTGCTTCGTATGCTGGAACTGCGTGCCATCAGTTCAGACACGGTGATTAGGCACGTTCGAGACAAGATGAACATTCCCCTACCCACCCTGAAAACTGTCAAGCTTCGCTGCACCAAGTCGCCGGCACTAAGCGAGGCCTACGTTGATATGCTCCAAAAGAGTGAGGCGAACCAGAAGCGCTGTGACATGTGTGAGCGTCAGGTGAGCACCATTGACGAGGTGATCGGCGACGGCGGCCCTCAGCCGCGCGCAGACGCCAACCGGTTTGGACGCTCGTACGAGCAGGGTGTCCCACAGCCCAGCCACAGGCTGCAGGGTGCCAGACCAAAGAAGCGGCGCACCACCGACACCGCTACGGTCAGTGGTGCCAAAAGTAGGCGCCGAGTGAGGCCGGCGCCCGGCTGGCTAGATTCCTCCGACAGCTCCGTCAGCGGCGGCCAACTGTGCGGGCCGGGCGCGGCACTGTGCGGGGGCCGCGTGGCCGCAGCGCGCGCCGGCTGGAACCCAGAGGTGGTCGACACCAGAGCCGGCCTCCTCGACTCGTCGCCAGATGGCCTCGGCGGACTGCAGCGCAGGTCCTGGAGCTGAACGGCGCCGGGGGCCAAGAGCGGGCAGCTCGCAGGGCCACCGAGCTCGCCGCAGTGCTGTCTATGCTGCTAGTGCCTAGCCACCGAAGGTGCGTCCTTAGGTCGATGGCGTGTTTCCATGCGTTCCAGTTTTGAACTTTCCTTGGCATTCTGTTCCGTGACAAGAAGTTACGTTTATGCAGCCTTCGTGTTCATGGATGTTTCTGTTTAGGCGTCAATACTTAAAAGTGGCTGGACGGCGAAGAATTGGATGTCAAAGCCAAGTTTGAATTAATCTCGCGTTTGTAATTGTATACTACGAGTCCAGTGCGCGCCGCGCGGCCATTCACGTCACACAAAGCTTTGAAAAATAAACGTCTATTCATTGCACATAAATCACAGTCAGTTCCTGGTTAAACGTTGGGGATCAAATATGTCGCGGACTGCCACTACACCTCAGCCAATAATAAATCACAGACCACTGCACCTCCATTCTTCCTGCTGTTTTTAACTCGATAAAAAATTCACAACCAAACGGAAGCGCTGAAAAGCTAATGCCCTAGCACTCAGCAATCAGCATCCTTTTTCTCTTATGTACTGTTCTCGGCTCGCGCCATAAGCGTACTCACTTTCAAGTTCTAAGCCCGCGACAAAACTGGTTCATTGAACAAAATAACAGAATGAAAGAGCTCTTAGGTCCCGCTCTATCCTTCCCTGCCACGTATATCACGATTCACGAGTACAAGACCCACAACAGTGACTTCTGAGTTAAGTTCACGGCTATGCATGATATTGTCAGCTGCCAATGTCTACTTACTGCCGCACCACTGCCAAGTTTTCTTACCAGGTCTACTTAAGTAGGTCGGCGTTGTCCGTCGCGAGCAGAAGGTCATCCACTTTGCGCGGATGGAGGCGGGCGCGGCGGTATTCAATGACGCGGCCGGCTTGGGAGAAGGTCCGCTCGACTTTGGCACTGCTTGCCGGGACACCGTGGAGTTTGCGGGTGACTTCAATACACCTGGCCGGGGGGGGGGGGACATCGCGATGTTGTGTGCGGTGTTGATGGGGACATCGGACACAGCCCACAGCCCCCTATTCAGGGGGCTGTGGGGTGCCAGTTTTTACGCTAGGAACCCGAAGTACGGACAGCAAGGTCATCTCCGATACGATTCCACTGCGGATTTTCCGTGCTGTGACGCGAGATGGCTGGGGCGTTTCTAACGGTGTGCCACTTACCTCTATCTCTGTCTCTCTCTCTCTGTCTCTCTCTGTCTCTCTCTCTCTCTCTCTCTCTCTCTCTCTCTCTCTCTCTCTCTCTCTCTCTCTCTCTCTCTCTCTCTCTCTCTCTCTCTCTCTCTCTCTCTCTCTCTCTCTCTCTCTCTCTCTCTCTCTCTCTCTCTCTCTCTCTCTCTCTCTCCTCTCTCTCTCTCTCTCTCTCTCTCTCTCTCTCTCTCTCTCTCTCTCTCTCTCCTCTCTCTCTCTCTCTCTCTCTCTCTCTCTCTCTCTCTCTCTCTCTCTCTCTCTCTCCTCTCTCTCTCTCTGTCTCTGTCTCTCTCTCTCTCTCTCTCTCTCTCTCTCTCTCTCTCTCTCTCTCTCTCTCTCTCTCTCTCTCTCTCTCTCTCTCTCTGTCTCTGTCTCTCTCTCTCTCTCTCTCTCTGTCTCTCTCTGTCTGCCTCTCTCTGCTGTCTCTCTCTGTCTCTCTCTGTCTCTCTGTCTCTCCCTGTCTCTCTCTCTCTCTCTCTCTCTCTCTCTCTCTCTCTCTCTCTCTCTCTCTCTCTCTCTCTCTCTCTCTCTCTCTCTCTCTCTCTCTCTCTGTCTCTCTCTGTCTCTCTCTCTCTCTCTCTCTCTCTCTCTCTCTCTCTCTCTCTCTCTCTCTCTCTCTCTCTCTCTCTCTCTCTCTCTCTCTCTCTCTCTCTCTCTCTCTGTCTCTCTCTCTCTCTCTGTCTCTGTCTCGAATGGTATGCGATATGATGCAATTTGGTTAACATGAACTTAGTTAATTAATTAAAGTTTACTTAATAATTAAGAAAGCACTTTAAGTACACTTCAGTAAGCTAAGAAGTATATCATTCGACGCGCCTTGACGTGCTTAGTTCACTGGTGCTTTTCTTTTTGCTCTATCTTAATTAGATCAAAACTTATTAAGCGAAAAACTGTTGACCTGTTTTTAGCGAAATTTTTACATTTCCCCCCCCCAAACCCCCCTAAATATTGACTTAGAGCAACCAAATTTGCACAGGGGCGAGGACTCCAGGGGTCCACCTCCCTACCAAATTTGGTGTTTCTAGGTGCCATAGGAGCCAATCGCGAGGGGGAGGGCATCGACCCCCCCCCCCCCCCGCCTGCCTGGCCGTGTTATGAAAAATGCCCTGCCAGGGCGAGGGTTAAGTACTGATGTTTCAAAGCACAAAAGTGATAGAACCAAGCGGATATTTCCTGTATTTTCCGAATTGACTATATGTAATACAACTCGGTGAACTTAGCACATGCTGAAAGTTTAAAGGAAATCAGTCCGAAACTGTGAGTTGCACTGGTGCATAAAGAAAATTAAAATTTGACCATGATGTAGCGCGGGAGAATGATAGAAAAATGGGAAAAGTGGTAAAGTGAAGTTTAAGTGTGAAATTATAGTTAGAAATGAAGAAAACCGCTACCTTTCGTCAGTACTCCCTCGATAGACGGTCAAAGAAGAAAATGAGAAGAAATAATAGAGGAAGAACAAAGATAGAAAGATAGAAAGTGATTGAAGTCCTCCCTTGCAGACAATATTGCATCGGGTGATGGTCGATGCTTTATGTTATTTGAGGCTGGTCAATGGTCATTCGGGTACATCAGGCTTTGCGAGTTCGAATGACATATTAATGCTTAAATTCCTTATGCCCTCAAGTGTCATTTCATGTGATCGATCGGACCGAGTTGTATTGTATTGTATTGTATTGTATTGTACTTATCGTGGCAAGCCGATCCATCCGAAAATGGCTATTATTGGCTGCCGAGTCAGGTGAAACGAATGAGGTGGGCACAACATTACACACAACACACACGCATCACATTTGCACACATATTCACATTTGCGCCACCGCGCCGCTACACACTGGCCGGGTCGCCGTGTTGCTCACGCAGTAGGAGCTTCCGATACTCCCTCCGAAAGAGCCTGTGACCGAGATTGCGCAGCGTCTGAGGCAGAGCGTTAAACTGCGATACAGTGGCGTATAGGAACCGGCGGCGCCCGGATTCCGTTCTAATCACGGGTAAATCGAGCAGAGGCCTCTTGCACCAAACTACCTACCTAGGTAAATTCAGATTTTACCTAGATTCTCTTGCACCAAACTACCTACGAAAAAACGCTACCGTGAAAATTTACCTAGAAATTCTACCGAGCGGCATAAGAACTTACCAATTGTTAAAGTCCGACCGGCTGTTTTCCTCTTGCACCGAAAGCCGGAAAGAAGTACTCGCGGAGGAATTTTTGACGGTTTGACGGTAAACGCGGGCTTCCAAAATAACTAGCAAAACCTTAGGTAAAATGATTCAATTAGTAACAATAGGCGCAATACATGATAATCCACGGGTACTTTTATGTAAATTAGGCATTGCAAAATGTTTAGACAATGATAAATCAATGTTTTATGAGTGAATAATAACATAATTGACCAAATGCTCCATGGGTTCACAGAGGTGCTTCTCCGTACCAAGGCGATAAGCCTCCGTAGCAGAACAGCCAGGTTGAAGACTCACTCGTTGCCATGGAAACGAAGCTTATTTGTTCAAGTAATTTAATATCAAAATAACTTCTATCGGTATTTACACATAGACCCGGGAACAGGGGGGCAGCGGGGGCGCTTGCCCCCCCCCCCCCAACTTTGGAGCCGAGGGGGAGGCGCCCCCTCAACATTGAGGCAGCTAGAAAAGGTCTTTCCTCCCTTTTCCGGGCTTCTTTCCTTCTTGTTTCCTTTATACATCTAAACATCAACACACGGCATTTTCCTTGCCATCTGAATGGTTTCTGCTGATACAGTATCGATTTGAAAACATCTGCTATTGTCATTCCACTTTGATTTGGGACCTTGGCCATAACCTTGGCAGGCCAGTTTTATACTGGACCATTTTGAGTCAGCTTTGAGAAATGCATAACGTACAACGGTGGTAAAATCGTTGCTATAGGTATAACGCAGTTTACCCGCTCCGGGGGGTGTGAGGGAGGGGTGTGGGGCAATGAGTGCACTGACTGACGTGGCGCACTCGGTATGGGATGGGATGCATGGGATACAATATTAGAGGGCCGGTATGGGATTAAAGCTCAACGACACTAAGGGCTTAAGTGTGGTGCCTTTGGTTATCGGCAGCACCCTCAGAATCACCGGCGTAGGGCCCTCAGAGCCGCCGGTAAGGGGCCTTTAGAGGCACCGGTGGGGGGCCGTCATGCAGGTGCCGGTGTGGGCGCTCAGAGGTGCTAGTGTGATTCTCTCAGAGGCGCCGATGAGGCGTTGTTACAGGCGTTGTTGTGGGCCCTCATAGACGCTGGTGTGGAGCCGTTGCAGACGGGTGTGGGGGCTTTAGAGCTGCTGACGCGAACTCTTTACAAGCCGGCAGGGGGTCTCAGTGACCGGCAAGGGGTCCTTAGGCCGGCAGAAGAAGTCCTGTGGGGTCCTTAGAGACCGGCATGGTACTGTCAGACGCCGGTGGGGCCCTCAGACTCATCGGTGTGGGACCCTCAAAAGTCACCAGTGGGTGGCCTTCAGATGCACAGGTGTTGGTTGGGTCCTCAGAGCCGCCGATACAGAGCTTAATTTTAATAGGCACTGGTGTAGGCACTCAGAGTTGGGGGTGTGAAACCCTCAGAGACACCGGTGTGGGCTAGAGTTGCAAAGTTTTCCCAATGGGCTGCTACCGGCACCGCTCCGACCCACAAAAAAATTCTGGGATACCGGCATACTACCACGCCCCAAGCAAAAATACCGCCAAATTACCGGTATACTAAAAAAACCTGCATTCTTGATTCTGGCTTACAAGAGATGCCACATTTTGGTAAAGTTTGAATCATATGCTGATATATTTTTTGGTTCAAAATCAAAAACACCGGCATGCTACCGGCAAGACATGCCAGATACCACGAAAAAACCTGCGGTGGTGAAAAATTACCGGCATGCCGGTAGTGCGGTAGGGAAATTTTGCAACTCTAGTGTGGGCCCTCATAGGCGCCGCTCATAGGCCCCATAGTTGCCGTTATGGGGCCCTCAGAAAAATAGGTGTGGGACCATCACAGGCGGGAAATGCCCCCTAGAACTGGCCCCTCACAGGCCGGTAAAGGACTCTCAGAGGCCAGTAACGGGCCTTTGGAGACCACCGAGGTGCCCTGAAAAGGCGCAAGAGGCGCTCAGAAGCCGGCGTGGGGC